GGTCGTCCTCCCTCTGCCCCGGGGGACCAGATTTGACCCTCTACTCCCCCCCCTGGCAGCTCCGGAGCCAGCTCAAAACGCTGGCGCCCCCCCGCTTCCGAAGTCAATGGACCAGCGGGCCTGGGAGAATGACGCGCTTCGAGGCACGCGGAACGGAAATGCGCTCCAGGGGGGGGAGCCGGGCTGGTGGGGAGGGCCGCGAGGGACCCCCCATTCAGAGGGGCTTCGCTTGGAGGCGGCGATGCGAGAATGGGGCAGCAATGGTGGGCGGGCGGGCACTCAGGGTGACCAATCTACGGTGCAACCCCTGGAACAGGGGGATCCGAGCAGGCCCCACAACGCACCCCCCCAAAATAATTTGAGTCTAGTGGACTTGGTTGGTTCGATGGAGTGGCTGGCTCGGCGGCAGCAGGCACAACAGGGCCCCGCCGTCTGGCCTGGAGGGGGGGTCCCAGGAGGAGAGATTCACTCCCCCGGAGGGGACGAAACGAAATGGGGGGGCGAGTCTATGGGCGCCCAGCATGCTGGGGGGATCAACTTCAATCTGCTGAACGGGCTCGCCACCGGGGGGGGGAGCAATCGGCTACGACTGAGTCCCAGCCACAACTCTGCGTTTTCCGCACCGGCCAGCCGGGGGGTGAACCTCACGCCCATCCACCCCCCCATCACGCTGGCCGAGATCTTGGCGCGCCCACAGAACTCTTCTCAGGGGGGGGCGATGCAATCGAGCCCCAGTAGCACACGGCTGGAGAAACAGCCCTCCGGGCAGTCGCAGGAGGTGTCGAAAAAGCGTTCCAGGGGGGGTAGGGGGCTGAAAGCGAAGGACGGGGAGGGGGACGGGGACCCCCCCGACTGTGAGGAGGCGGTCGCGAAGCGGGGCGCAAAGCCCCGGGGAAAAAGGGAGTGTCCGATGTGCGGGAACCTGCTGGCGGCCGCAGCGGCGGACTGTCCGAAATGCGGGCACATATTCCGGCCGTCAAAGTGGAACACACGCGCAACGCAAGGGTGAGTGGACAGACCAATCTTCCCACATTCCCTCAAATCTGTCGACTCAACCCAGCTGTTTAGAAGCGCTGTTGTCAGTCTTGAATTGCTCGTTCCGGCCGTGGAACTTGGGAGTCTAGAACGGCAAGCAGACTGCCGGACGAGCTGTTTTAGGACCGCGCTGATTTCAGAAGAACGCGAATCCGTGGATTCTCTTGTAAAAGCTCCCTCCTAGACTGCTACGGATGCTAATTCTCACAAAGTTAGCAAGTTCCTCCTCCGTGGTATAAGCACAGGCCAAAGTGAGGAAAAAGATATCATCCGAAAGCGACGAGAACCATGCTCTCTCCTCACCCACCTGAAACTCCCGACCTAAACCCAATTGTGCCCTGGGCCATGACCTCACCCTGCCTAGCTTTATACTACCTATATGATAGGTCTGTTTGCTGCAAGTTTAAGTCACGAGGGGTAGCAACCGACTCATCTCAAGTATTGACATCCTCGCCCATGCAGGCTTCTCGACGAGTCCCCCCGCGGTGCGAGACTCGCGCTGCAGCGCCCACCTAGCGAGGGGGGCATGCTGCCGCAGCTGAGTCTTCGAATGGGCCCGCACTCCGAGGGGGGGGCTCGAGAAGAGGTCGGCGAACACCGCTGGCGCCCAGAGGGTGGGGGATTCCTCCCGTGCCGTGGCCTAGAAATGGGGGGGGCACCACCCGGTTGGTGGCATAGTGGGGGGGCAAGAGATGAGTCTAGCTCGCATGGGGGCCACGCCGCGTTTACGCATCTGATGGGGGGGGTGAAGGAGCATGCCTCGGAGCAGGGGGGGCCAGCGGTAGGCAATCCCACCCCCCCGAACTGGGCGCTCGAGGCGTTTGCTACCATGACCGGGGTGAAATACTCCGGGGAGGGGCAGGGTGCGGGCGCTTTCGGGAATGGGGGGCCGCATGCGCCGGACTGGGGGCGGCAACCGGGCGGAATGCAGCCAGAGACAAGCGCCCGGGGGATGCCTGGACCCGAGCGGAATACTGGTGGAGGAAGGGGGAAGAAAAGAAAAGCAGCCGCGGCGACGCAGGGACCACTGCAGTCCTCCCGAACAGGGCCTATTACGCATGTGTTCAACTGGGGGGGGGATCTTCGAGGAGGGCGTCCAAAAGCGCACGCGGCGGAAGAGAGTAACCCGAAGGATGGGCCGGAGGTTGAGCTGTCTTTGGCAAGCCCGAACTCGGGGCAACCCCGGGGGACGCGGGAGCCACACATGCATAGCGAAGCTCTTGCAGCGGCAAGTGCACATGGACTGAATCTGAATGGAGCGCAAATTGCGGGCTACGTGAACACGTATCCGAACACCGACCGGAACACCTTGGGCTGGGGGCGAGAATTAGATCTGACCAAAAAGTAGGGTAAGTTGAGCGAATGAGTTTGACACATCGTGCGGCATGCGGACCCGGTGAGCTCAAAGGATGGATTGAAAGGTGTCAAGATCTTGCAAAAGGTCTCGTGATGAGGTCAGATAACGTACAAGGTGATCAACAAAGAAAGCCAGTGTTTCAACCGGAATTTCTCTGAGGTAATATAGGACTGATTATTCTACCGCAAGAGCTATACGAGGTGACAATCAAGTGTGTTCACGATTGCCAGCAGATGTTTCGGTGCGGAGCCCGTGTATGGTGAATTGACAACAAAGTCAACCTTCGTGATGGTCGGATCACCCGGACTCGAGTCCACGTCATGCGCATCCAAAAGCTACATGGGCTGAGAAGCGCGGAAAAGAATTCTAGCTGCATATCCAAATTCCTTGCATATGTGACGTCGTGTGGCCATATATGCAGACCCGCAAGGAATGGCCTTCAACAGTCCAAGTTCAAGTTGTATACATCGAATGAACAATCCGAAACCTTTGGGGGCCATCATTGCTACGAGAGACCTAGTGGACTGTCGTCTCCTCTGATCTATCTAATGTTGCTTTTCTTTTCTGCATATACATATTGGCCACGCAGTTTATGTGGCTACAGTTCCCTGCAGTGCCCTAGACCGTTTAAGTGCAGCTTAATGTGAGTACGTCCTTTTTGCCATTTAACCGCCGTACACTGGAATCATAATCTTCATGCAGAGCGCGCAATCAATCTGGCCTGGCCCACTGTAAATCGTTTGCAATTCAATGCTGCATAGTCAGCACATACGAAACGTGTTCCGGTCATCCTCGGCCACGGGCCGGCTTTGCATTGCAAAGCGTAAGTTCACATGCAGTCTGCTGGCTTACAATCTGAGCTTTGCCATGTCATTTCCTCTGTATTTTATGACGACGTTCGAATTGGTGCGTGGGCATTTTGCTTAAATGCAAACCGAGGTTCCAATCCGACCTAATGGAGAAGCAGCCAAGTATCATCAAGAAACGGTGCCGCAATTATATCTGCGGAATTTTGGATCCAGCGCAGTTGCAATTCCTGACGAGGCTTTATCATGCATGCCTTGATTCTACTGAAGCGCGAGCCTCGATTTGAAGTCTACAGGCTGAACTTATGTTTCATTAATGGTTTGGATCCAGAAGGAAAAGCCGGAATAGTCATTGATATCCTCTGCATGAGGAGCCAATGTGAAACGTAGCGAATGGCTGAAATGAGTTGGCTGGGGTTTGCACAAATCTGCGGTTAGTGAAGGGGTCATGTGTCCATTCTGAGTTTGCGCACTTGGAAACTGGGTAGTGGTAAAACCAAGATCAAATTGCACAGGGGTGCAGTGCACAAAGATCTGCGTGCATAGACACTCGGTATCATATCATACCGTCTTAATTCTGACTGTGGTTAAGATTCTGGTGAAAGCCCTGACGAAGAGAAACAGTCAACAGCCTACTCCATCACATAGGCAATAATCTGAACTCCAATTGAACCATTCCACATGCAATGAAGTAGCAGCAGCAGATCAATCATGAGCGTAGAAACCTTCCAAATCGTTTCTTACCATATCCGGCAGATCCGGCAATTCCAACCGTGGACGAGAATTTGCCGGAAGAGTTGATGATCAAGATTGCAAGAACTGCCAAGAAACTCTTCGAACAGAATTTGCAACATATCCTAAGTTCCGCCCTGATCATCTGACTGCCAAGCGGACTTAGTTCTGAGGTTTAGCTTTCCAGCCCCAAAAGACTGCCCAAGTATAGGAGAACTCTTCCCCTCTATTCAGACCAGCTTCGCCTCCTGCAATGCACCACCCTGATCCCTCTCAATCATTCATCATCCACATATATGAGTTACCTCGGAACTATCTAATCTCCTCACCACTATTGTGCACACTTCTCAGCGCTTAGAAGTTAGCCTGGCCTGGCCTCTGGACAAGGAATCCAGAGCACTGCACCTGCCTCTTGGCATCGAAACCCAACACGCGGATATAAGCCCTGGGGTATGTTCTCTTGGCCTCAGCAACCTCCTTCAGCACCTGGCTGGGGTCAATGCAGCCGAACAAGGGGAGCTTCCACATGGTCCAGTACCGGCCGTCATAGTATCCGCAGCCCTGGAAGTTCTCCCTGGAGACATAACCGACCTGCAAACAGCAGTAACATATGGCTAAGAGCAAGAGCAATGCAAAGGAGCAAGAGCACCGCAGAGCAGTCCCGTGGAAAGAGGTCAATCGAAGTAGACTAAAACCTACAATGTACGATTTTCTGTGAAAGTAACAGACACAGTATGCACATGCTCGTCACCTTGAATGCGAAGGTATAGCGAGCGAAGCAGTTTCGTGGAAAGAGGTCAATCAAGGTAGACTAAAGCTGAAATGTGCGCTTTAAATTTTAAAGACACAGCATGCACATGACGTCAGCTTGTATACGAAGGTAAAGAGAGCAAAATTGCCATAACATTGACCCCAAGAACAATGTCGTCAAAAAAGGTCATCAGTGCAAATGAATACCAGGGAAACGACTGAAGGTGCTCACACTGGATAGGGGCATCAACTGGGAATCCATGCGAACCAATTGTCCAGCAACCTGAAGCAGAACTTTGCAACCGGCCAATTTTCTCACCTCATCGAACTCAATGCAGGGGGTCCATCCCTTGCTGATCATGTAGCTGATTTCCTGCGCATTAAAGGGGTTGACCATGGTTGAGCGAATCTCTATGTACACAAAAGCATTCAGTGCCATACTAGGTACTGCAAGGAAAAGGTACAACCATGATTATTGCCAAGACCTGTGCAGCTGGGTAGGCGAATATCAGGTGGTCAACTGATCGATGCAGCAACTATTGCCGCAATGGAGAACAGCCTGCAAGTCCTATACTCTCTTAAATGCAAGTGATATTGATAAGGTCTGAAGAACCACCAAACAATGAGTTGAGATGTTTTCCATAAAAGATAAATGACCGGATGCTGCTCCAATTCAATGAATCTCACCTTGGCGATAGCTTCAGCGGAGAGGGGAGGGAGGTAGGAGAGGGTCTCGAACTGCAAAATCAGAACAACACACTCAGTCTAACCTTATTCGAACAAGCATCCCATTGTGATTGAAACAGAAGAGAACCAAGGGAGATAAGGCATTGAAATTACACAATACCAAGTTGACAGATTAGAAGAAGTCTTTGGAGACACAAGGGGTGTGTGTAGGAGATTCAATCCGACTCACCTTCTTGTTGTTGAGGGGGGTCCACACCTGCATTGCAATAGAAATGAAAGATCAGACAGGGACTACCTTTAAAATCAATGAGCCGGCGTAAAAGCAAAGAGCTTGTGAATCAAGTCTCCCTGCAGCCCCCAGTTGATCTCAAGGAAAGCCAAAGAAATGCACCATCGCCAAATGCCTGATCAGCTTGTGGATACGCTTTTGATTGATCCCCTGCAGATTGAGTCTATCTGGCCAGAAATGAATGCCAAATGCACCCCCTCATCCACCATGAGTCTCCCATCCCCCACTACATCCTCTACTAGAATCGAATATCAAGTATGGCTGTAGTGCCGCTCCGCCGGTGACTGCCTACAGAGATAAAGCCCCCTGCTTTCCCTGTTACCCCCCGTAACATCCCAAGTCACTACATGATCATCTTGATCCTCTCATCGCTGTTTGCTTCCTGCCACCTTCTAAAGTCAGTGGCTCCATAAAGTGAATCTCTGCTGACTGTATGCTGCATCGGTGCTGACCTTCATGGCCTGAACGCGTCCGCTGTTAGAGACAGTCTTGTCAGAGAAGGTGGCAGCCTTCCTGGCGGTAGGAAGGGCAGCACCAGCCTTCAACCCGGTGAAAGGCTGAGCAACCTGCTTGTTGCTGCCAGCGCTCGCTGCGGTAAACGCAGCGGCGGACCCCATCTTCACGGCCAGAGCGGAAGCCATTGCGTCTAGGTGAGTAGGCGCAGGGGGTCCTGGGAACAAAAGAGCGCTGAAACTTCCTGAAGCAACAACAAACGTTTGAGAACAATGCAGGACGACTTTGCCCTCCTTGTTCCTGGGCAGACGTTCGTTTGCCTCTGCTTCACAGGCACCAGTCTCGAAAGCAGGTTGAGAATCAGTACACACCCGAAACCGGGAGGAGTCGATTAGACAACCAAACCCCTAAACAAACCCAAGCACTTTTAATACAGTAGCTACCCGTAACTAAACCGCATCCTGGACGCCAACGTATCCTAACCTTTCATGGAGCAATTCGCGTTTTCTCAATATCGGCAGCGCGTTCTGTTTAATTAATTTGGACAAAACCCCCCACAAACAAACCCAAGCGCTTCTCACTCATACTCACGCTAAACCCCAATGCTAACCCCTTTTATCCCCCGGATACTGACCTGGCCGTATCTCAAGCTGAGTGCTGAGGATCGCCAGCCCTCCTTGTAGATAAGAGTTGACATGGCTGGGGATGAATTCACCGGGTGCCCAAGATTCTTAGAGTGGTCGGTGACCAGACTCCCGTGAAGAAAATGGGCAAAATCTTGATGACGTGCCCCCTCAAGAATACATTGGTACTTTGCACCGGGCATTCATATGGAACTGGGTGTGCCTGGCGAGATGACCTGGCTCGAGTGAACCACAATTGCATGTCCGCTCACCAGCTGTCACCAGCCCTGAAAGTGTGCACTGTGTGCCTTTCGAGCCAAGATTCTCGGGAGAGTACCAATCCAGGCCCGCACAATCCAGGCCCGACAATCCAGGCCCGTCGATTTTCGGACGATTTTGACCATAGCTTTGGAACTTAAATAGATTCCCTGTGTCTCGTTTTCCGTCCGCGGCACCCCCGCGATGAAGAACCGAGCTCTGCATTTACGTAATGAACCCTCAACCTAGTAAGGTTAATTGTAAGCAGATAACTGTAACTGTAACTGTAACCGTAACTGTAACTGTAACAGTAACAGTAACTGTTACTTTGACTGAACTTGGTCTCTGTAACTCTGTCTGTGCCGTTTTAACCATGGCTGTACACTCTACTAGAGTTGCTACTTATCCAGAGTCATGTCGGAGTTTTGAGTGTGACAGTAACCGTAATCAGAACTGTAAGTGTGACTGTATCCGTTTCTCTTACCGGTATTGTATATGTAACTGTACACTGACCTAAACCTGTAACTGTACCTGTAACTGTACAACTTAATCACAGCCAAAAATGGTATCCGTCTGGTTTCGCGGCTCCGCGCCCGGTACGTATCTCTTCCAGGTGGGGCAGACCCCCGGGGTTTGCTAGGCTGGGCCCTGGGGTCCAGGCTACCGTAGCCTTACTACTTAGGCACCGGACGGCCCAGTGCAGTGTGCACTGCGGGCTGAGTCCGCAAAACAGTTTAGAAAGGGTGTCGGAGTGTCGGACAGGACGAAGTATCAACGGCCTGGATTCGGCCTAAAAATACGGGCCTGGATTATTTGGGCCTGGATTGGTACTCTCCCTTCATTCTCCGCCAGGATGCGACGCTTTCCGGCTTTGTGGTGAAAAGGAAGCCCTTGAATTACGTGAAAACTGCATCGACACCGTTGAAAAGCGTTCATACCGTACCGCCAAGGGAATTCACCTGAAATTAAATATTTTGGGGTCGGTGTGAAAATTTTGAAACTAAATTGGGACCTGAGGGCGAAATGTCGAAATGAAGGAATTAATCAAAAATAGCTCTGTTCTGGTGAAATGGCTGGCAAAAAATCAAAATTACAGTTTCTGCGAAATGAAAAATAACTATCCAGACCGCATGGTGAAATCTGAAAACGTTCATAATTAATTATTCGCACAGAAAGGTGGTGAATTCCCTTGGCGGTACGGTATTTGTGGTTCTCGCCGTAAAGATCCTTGACACCAAGAAAATACAGTTGGGCAAGTGTACTTTCCGGTACGCCCGGGTACCGGAAGTTAACGCTTTGCTCCAATCATTATCATTGAGCGAATCAGATGCATACCACGTGTTGCTCCGAAGTACAGTCCGGAATTTGTTGGCAAGACCTTTTCCGAATGTGACCCTTCCATGGACCCACTCCACCCTTCAATACACGGAGCTTGCACGTGCCGGGCGCGTGCCAGCGAATGGTGCCCGCACGCGGCGGCCGCCTTCGCACAGCCTGGCCGGGCCCATACCGTACGGTACTGGGCCCGCGCGGCCGGGCGGCCGATCCGATCGGTCGGACCCCGGGGTGCCATGCATGCAACGAGTTGTAGAGTTTAAAACTTTAAAAGTGTGCAATGGGTGTGCAATATAGCAACTTGAAGCAACTTGATCGAAGCGATATGATCGTGGTGCTGCTTCCACTTTCACTTCCGCCGCCGCACCTTAGAGTATAGTGGCGCGGTACCTTCGTATCTTCCCCATATCTTCTCTTTGTCTCGTTGTGATCGTTGCGGCCGTTGCTGCTATCGATCATGTCGGAGGGCAAATTGTGGGAAGGGATGAGAATGAGACGACTCGTGTTGTCCACATCATGTGGGCGTAATTCTGCCCAACAGTACAACAGAGACAGAAACACAAATCAGGAAAAGGAGATTCTTGAAGAGCCTGTGCATGGCAGTGTGTGGGGCAGAGAGCCGCCCTGAGCCGTGCCTGAGCCCTGTGCAAGGCATGTAAAGGGACTAGGATCGATCGAATGTGATGCGGGAAGGAATAGATGGATGCTGATGGAGAATGGAATCCGCACGGAATCCATGCTTGCTTTCCAACAAACATCTATTGATGCTCGTTTTTAATGTGGTGGTGCATTTGACATCTTTGATGCAGGCTATATAAGTTATACCTTCCCGATCTTGCGCTATCTCTTTGCTTTCAACGGTGACCATATATTTGATTGTGTCCTTTCTTCGACTTGACCGTAGATGACTGCGGGAGTTCTGTAATTGCTTGCATGACACAAGCAATATATCACCGGCCTTCATCCTAATTGCGGTATAGTCGATACAATATCAATCAAGGCCCGCTCAACAATTGCAATGCAGCATGAGCGCGCGCGGATGATAACATAAAATCAAGGGCGATCCGCGACGGGCCATGCACGCTTTCTCTTTGATCTTTGCAGAAGAATGTCAATATTAGAGCATGACCCAAAATCTTATCTCTCCGCGTTTCCAATTGATCAGGCCTAAGTGAATATATTTTCAACGCTGCGGCGGGCCCATGAATTGGTCCTGATAGCCTCAACTAAAAACATGATCGATCCGAAGCTAGATAAGACAAATGCTGGGCGACGAGTATGGACGGTGTGCGGTGGCATGAAAACCACATGCATCGTGGCTTTTCGAGGATGAATTTTTAAGACCAATTGGAGCTGGACTCAGGCAACTTTCAAATCTACAAAATATGGATTGGTGGAGTTCAAGGTTAATGTTTGACAGCTTTGCAACAACTCTGGCGAGCTTTTTCGAATCTTCTGAGACACCAGCCTTGCCAACTTGCAAACTTACTAACACATCAGCTGGACACAACTGACTCAGTTTAAATAAAAGCACAATACTTAGACTGTCTCGTAACGTTGGTCTCGAAAGATTGCTCGCTGTCGCTGCTGCATACGAATGGCAACCAGTCCTTTTAGTTCAACACGTATTGGATGCCCATAAACCTTCATCTGCTTAAGCAAAGAGAATAACCGTCGGACTTACAACTCGAAGTACGTCTACAGATCATTTGACTACCTTTTGCTCCAACCTAATGGTCGACTCATTCTCCAATATCAGTGGGCGGTGTTAGACCAAACGAATCTCTCTCCTTCACATGGTACTCGGGGCCGAGCAACAGAAGCCGCCCAGTGGCCGCTTGAACCCCGCGAGCTTCTTCTTTGACTTTGCATACGCGGGGTCATCCTCCCTCACCCCCAGATCCTCAAAAATACCCACAGCCCTTTCCAGCAGCGGCTGCGCTTTTTCCTTTCGCCCTTGCGCCTCGGCGCATTCGGCCATGTTAGTTAGCAATTCGGCCGTCGCTCTAGTGGCAGTCTTAGTCTCCTCATGAATGGTTAGGGCCCGGTTGAACAGCGGCTGCGCCTCAGCGTACCGCTTGCGGCACATGTGCACACTACCGAGCGCGTCTAAGCTGGCGGCGACCTCGAGCGGGCTTGCGGGCGAAGTCCTTCCGTGCAGAGCGACGGAACGATGTGCGGTGGCGAGGGCTTCGTCGTACCTGCACGGGGCTTAGCATATGAGTTGAGAAATACGAACTTCCCCACGGTTTCCGGAATTTTCAGGGTTTCTCTAGATTAGTAAAATCATATATAGTGTGTTAAAGCATAGAGTATGGTCTAAAGAGGAACGAGGGACCACTGTCGCTCGGCCAGGCCCTTGCTGCAAGTGCACAACGTTTCTATCCACGTTCCAGAAAATCTCCGCATTATGTTCCAAGGAGGGCCAACAATCCCTATGCGACGTAATCAGGGTTTACATAACCTGTCTGCGGGGGGCGATTGAAGCTGCGCAACAGCAAGGAATGCGTCTCTACCAAGATGCAGGGACTGACATTAGCGAAGACTGCCTGGGCACGTGTCACGTCAAGCTATGATTCGACACGGGTCTCCAACTATAAAGGAGATCTTGCATTAAGAAATCATCGCGAACTCCTTGATCCCAACGCGCTGTCTCTTGGGCGACAGGAGCGGACAACGGTTTACAAAAGCCTCCAATTCAGTTATTCAGAGATGCATTTCGGATCTGCGCCCTCACCTCTTCTGTGCTCGCATGACCGTTGACGCCTGCGCCAGGCTGAGCGCCAGGTGGCTTGATCCGGTTGGCTGGATGCTTTCCTCGATGGTCAGGGCTCGTTTGACTGCGTCCGACGCCTCTTTCTTGCGCCCTTTGGCCTGGTATAAACTCGCCCCAAGCAGAAGGCTCCGGGCGACTGTTGGGGATCGGGACGGAAGCGCCGACGCCTGCAAATGCGCTCGTACGACGTGAGGACGGTGCTTCAACGGAGAAACGAGGATGGAAATCTGGCTTTTTGAGAGTGGCTTTATGACCGCTCTTGGCGTTTTTTTCCCAACAGGCTGCAAGCGACAGTCAGAGATCGGGGCGGAAGCGCTGACGCCTGCAGAAGCTTACGACGTGAGGACGGTGCTTCGACGGAGAAACGAGAGTAGTTGCCAGAATTGAGGACTTGGCAGTATGGGAGCGACTTTGTGAACGCTCTGGGCGTTCGGCCCCGAAGAGGTGGCTGCGGGCGACTGTTGGGGACGGAAGCGCAACCGCCTGCAAATCTAGGGTGTTACCTAAGGCTGGCGCTTCAGAACAAAGTTGCGGCAAAATCAGGACTCCTGCGTTTCCAGAGCGGCCTAGAAATGCGCCTGGCCGAACACAAGCTGCGAAGGGATAGAAGCGCCGTCGTTCAATTATCTGTGGTATACGACGTGAGGACGGCGCAGTCAGAAAAGTCAAGATTGCTCCACACTGGGGGACTTCTGCAATCTGAAAAGGACTCTATGAACGCTCCGGGCGTTCGACCCCGAACGGAAAGCTGCTGAAGCGCCACCGCCTGCGGATTGATTCGTACGACGTGAGGATGGCACTTCGACTAGAGAAAGGATTCCCGTTGAGATCAGGGCTTCGCGTTTAAGAACCGAATTTTCGGATGCACTTGACGTTCGGCCGCATACAGCACATTGCAAGCCAGCATCGCCGTGTGGGTGGAAAACGCAAACGCCCCCACGAATAAGATGTCGATCTGGCCGCTGTGAACAACCACCGGGAGTTACATCGGAGGATCTGAGAGTACGCATGTATTGCCTTTGGAGTGCAAGGTTGCTGTACAAGTCTTGGCAGCTGAGGGCCCCTGTTGGGGACTGATAGAAGAAGCAACCCAAAAGCAAAGCACAGGTCTCTTCTTGGTGGATTTGGACAGGATATCTTTATTCATTAATGATGCGATTTCAAAAGTAGATGCAACGTCGAGATGTTGCATTCAGACGTCAGCTCCTGCGGGCCAGGCGATATTGGAACGGCAGGGAAGTCTAGTTTGGCCTACGAAGTACCTCGGAAATCGATAGTCATTGCGGAAGAAGTAAAGTCTGGTTCAGGTACCTTGTTTGAAGTGTAACAGACACTATTGATCATATTTTCGCGTACAAGACCATCAACTGACTCCCCAACCAGAGCGCTTTTGTAGATCACTACTCGAGCACCTTTTCCCCAAACGCGAGCGGCTTTTTCCACTCTCAATGTTGCACGTTCTCTTCTTCCTTTTGCATGTGACGATCCAGCTGACCATCTCCCCATCACGAGACTCTTTCCAAGCTCTCATCCGTGAGGCCCAGAACCTCAGCACAACTCTGCCGCCACACCAAACAACACGCCTGCAGTCCCCCGGAGCTCACCTGGATCTTGGCGGCTTCCTCCCAGCACGCCAGCGCTGCGTCCATTCTCCTCTGAGCGGCATATGCTTCCGCTAGCGCCTGTAGCCCGGTCGCGCGAATCGTGCTATTTGGCAGCAGCGCCGCTTGCTTTGCGGCGCGCCCGAACTCGAGTAGGCCTACCCCCTCCCCTGCTGTTCCCCCCGCGACTTCGGCGGCCGCTTGCCGTTGGCGGACCTCGAGAACCACAAGGTGAGACGCACCTGCACCAATACGTTCTTATACGTTCTCAATGGACTGGTGATTGGAGATTGAATTGATGTTGGTAACGCATACGGTGAAGTCTACGTTAAGTCTACAAACAATCGATCCCCTCATTCTTGTGGTTGCCCACTCGTGAAAGTCAGTCGCTTTTCTCGTCTCGTCTCACGAGTGCTAACCTGACCCTGCTTCGTGGTTGCAGAATGCGCAGGTTTTATTGATCAACAGGTAGGGCTTCACTTGTTTCGTACGACGGCCGACAAATAATCATCAGTGGATCTGGATAGAGGGGGGTGGGGTTCGACCGACTGACAGAGCGTTGGGAAAACCCTGGGACGTTTCAAGGACTTCAAAACCCATTTGCCGAATCCAGCAAGTCGAGAAGAGGATTGTTTTCCTTTCCTGACCGCCAGATAGTGTTGCTTCCTACCAAGTTTCAGTCAGATTTAACTGCCAAAGAGCACAGCAATGATACAAAGGGCAGACTGTGCTAGGACATTACTCCAGACTTCCCAAACGGAACCCGTCACAATCTTCCAGGATCTCAAGGGGACCGTATGCATGCTCAACCGAGGCGTTTCAGCTTGGCTTAAAGATGTCCTTCGTCTCAGCATTATAGACCTCAAACGTGCAACCGCTGAACCCGATTTGGGCCTGAAAGTCACCCGCTCACTCGAAAATCTGCGGTCGCCTTTGAAACCAACCTTCTCATTCGTGATGGGCGCGCCTGAGTGAAGCGAAGAGCCAACATCGAAAGCTAAACCGAAGAAACCCTCAGACCCCACCAACCCCCTTGGCGCGCTTGAACAAAAAACACACAATTACATCCCAAAGCCCCCAAACACTGAATCGAAGACACCCTCCGACCCCACCGACCCCTGCAATGTCTTATAACCGGAAAGGTCTCGCGTGTTGGTGCGCACTCACCAATCTCTTTCGCGAGCATGTCCCCCGCCATTTTGTACAGCGGGGCCGCTTCCCTGGTTCGCCCCGCCGCGACCAACGCGTCCGCATACGCTACCGCCGTCTCACTCCTCCGCACATTGTCCTTCACCCAGAGCTTCTCCGCCTGTTCCGCCGCTTCCGCGAGACTCTTGAGCGCCGCTTCTCGGTCCCCGAGCGCCGTCTCCACGCGGCCCCGCCGCAGCAGAACCTGTGCCACGTGTCCCCCCTCTGCGGTGGCCGGGTGTTCTTTCGCCTGGTCGAGCAGGTGCAGCGCCCCCTGAAGGTCGCCCTCGCACGCTGCTGCCGCCGCGTGGCCCAGCAGCGCTTCGGGGACCTTTGTGGCGACCAACTCCTTTTGCTCGTGCTCGAGGCTCGTGCGCAGGGACGGGCTCCAAGACTTGCGCCGTGTTTGGTACGCCGACGCGGGCCGCGCGACGATAGGCGTCGCGCGCATGAGAGTGTCGCCCTCCTGCCGCAGAACCTCGGCGGTTGCCTCCGGGGAGCCGTTCTTGAGGGTTTGGAAGCGCCCGAGGTGGGGGGATACCGAGCGGGGCGTTTTTGGGGGGGTGGGGCGTTGGAGAGGCGTGGAAGTGCTGCGGCGGAGGCTGCTGGGGAACGCGCTCGGGCTCATGGAACGTAGCGGGGGGGTCTTGGTGTTGCGCTGGATGCGCTTCCTGCGATGAGCCGTTTCATTTGAAAGTCAGCAAACAGACACCCACATATCATGTATAATGGCAATTTCTATAATCCGGTCTTCCGTGATACGTTGCTTCAATCCTTGTTCAGAAATCGGCTTCATCGGGATGCTTTTGGCTTCAGGTCTGTTACCAAAAACGTGCCCCATGGTCCAACCAGGAGTACCGCTCGAGGAGTAGCGAGTATATAGATAGCGAGTCGCATGTGGCCGATTTGAATATTGTTCAAGCGGGGTCGCTCATTTCACGGCGTGGAAAGGGGACGGAATCGGAAGCGCCAACAGTGGGTGTTGAGTTCATCAGGATTTGGTGAACCTCTCGATTCAAGAAGTTGATCGTAAACCAGAATGTACTTCCAGCGGAGTAGCCGAAACACCCAGCAACCTTGAAAGATAACATGATTGAAACCCCGCCCTTGGGCATGGAATGGTCCCCTGATCATCCGACCCTCATAAAGACAGGATACACTCGAACCCGAACCCTGGAACCCTGTCGACCTGGAAAAAGCTTTCCTTGAAGGCAAAGAGCGATAGCATGCTTTCGTTTTCCAGTAAAGATATCAATCAGCCAGACTCCTACCTGGGCATGCCGAATGCAGACACGATCGACAGCGCACTCTTGGGCGTAGACGCCTCGCTGCCCCCGATGATTGTCTCCGCCTTTCCGTTCCCCTCGGGAAGCGGCGTCGTGCGCAGGTTCGGTAGCGCAGCATGAAATATGTCCAGACTGCCACTGGGCGAACCAGGGGACTCGGGGGACTCTGGTGTTTTTTGGGGGGCGTATACGGACATGTCTTGGGACTGGGAGATGTCGAGGGGGAGCGGCCGCACGCCCGCCCGGAAATTCTTGGGCATGAACGTTTCTTCTTCGTCTGGGGGGGAGAACAGGGTACAAGATAAGGGGGCTGTAAGGGAGGTGGGGCGACACCCATTTGACGACAACGGCGTCGAAGTTTTTGGCATAGAGATTTATTCTTTGTTTTGGGCAAAAGCAAACGGGCTTCATGCCGGATGATGACAAGGTGAAAAGCAACTGCTCGGTAAGCATAGACAAAGGCGGTCTCGGTTTCAAGAGGATTGAGCGAGTCGGGGCATCGAGTTGAGGAAACGCTAGCCAGTGTAACCGGAAATAGTAACATGGGAAGAGAGGGGCTTTGAGCTGGTGAGGCGAAGGGGGCGGTCAGAGCGTGGCGTTTTTCAAACATCGAGCGACCACAACGGCGGAGAGCTGGCGGTCCCAAGATACAGACGATGGCGCAGCAACAATCAAAGACTAGCAGCAGCAACTCCCAAGATTCTCAATCCGAGAATGTCTACGTCTTGCATGGGAATACTTTCAAGTTTGGCCTTCGACTCCTTTGATTTGTACACTACAGAGGAACCAGAGAACCATTGCCAGCCGGCTTCACTGCTTGCGTCCGTGCGGGCCGGATTTACGTGGCGGGCCGCTCATTCTGATGCGCCCCAACGGCTAAATATTACCTGCGGAGTTGCGAACCCGCTGAACCTCGTGGGCTTCTGAAGTATCGAAACCCCCCTGATTTTGAAACCCTGATGCTACTGAATTAAATCGTCACGTACCTGCAAGCTTGGCTGCTTGCGTCTGCGCCTGCCAGATATGCGTGGCGGCCACGCACTTGCACTGCGCTGCTAATCCTTGCACACTTGTGAGCTCGCTCTGCCATGTGGGCTCCTAACGTACCCCAATTCTACCCTGAATAAACCCCTGAGGACCTTACGTCCTAGGAGTATAGAGCGTCTCTTACCTGCGGGCTCGGCTGCTTGCGTCTGCGCCTGCCAAATCTGCGAAGCGGCCGCATACTTGCGCTGCGCTGCTAGGGCTTGGGCCTGCATGGCCGTGAACTCGCTGCGCCACGTGGGCTCCTCCTTGCCGAGCCACGCGAGCGCCTGCGTGCACAGCGCCTCGGCTGCGGAGTACTCCCCCGACCCCGCCACGAAGAATTGCACCGTCTTGAGCCCGATCAGCAGCACCAGTTGCCTGCGGTGCAAAGGGAATGCGATAAAAAAGGTGGAGGCGTTTTCGATAGCGTAATTCAACACCTGGATACCGAGTGTCTACCAGTACCCGAAACCGAACCCAGAACTTGGTCGAAAGAGCTGTCACTCTACCTCGCACGAAGAAATCTTGCTGATCCGATGGGGCAAAGAGGATTCGGATTCTTAGGTCTCTTTCGCTCAATAAGCAAGGGCCGAAGCACAAGTATCCTGCAAACAGTCAACTCGGACCAGACCGGATTACGACTTCGCAAGGAAGCAATCCTGCTACCCTCGTCTGTCAAGCATGACACATGAGCGTCACACTGTTTGAACTCGAAAGATTGATCTAGGAGGTACAACGGCCAGCTTGCCAGTACAGCATGGGTGAAACAACTTTATCAGTTAATCTAATGAGTGTGAGAAAGGCCCCTTCTCACCACATGCTCAACTTGCAGACTTTGGGTGTCCGCCTCCCCTACGCTGAACGGACAAACGAAAGGAGCGGAAGCAAGAGGGCCGTGAATCAGCCAACGAACAAGGCGAACAACAATGTGAAGGGGGAGAACGACGGAAGAGGAGAAAATGCAAGGGATGCCCGGGGCTCACTTTCTGGCGTACGAGTCTGAGAGCTCCGCACGGCGCGACCAGACCGCCCGGAAGTGGTCGCTGTTGCTCCAGTCGCAGCTCGTGCTCGCAAGAGCGCGCAGCATCGAGTGGTGCCCCCCCCGCTTCTTATCCGCTGCCACGTAGTTTCTCAACACTGACGGGAAAATCACCGACCCGTCCCCCTGCCGCGTGGCAATCCCGAGGCGGCTCAACTCCACCAGCGCCGCCTCGACTTTCGTGCTATTCACGCGGCTCCCAATGTGCCACTGGAGGCCGCTGACCAGCAAATCTAGGGTGATCGCCCCGGGCCCGAACCACCCCCCGACGAGCGCGCTCGTCGATGCGAGAAGCGCCTTCTCCTTGCCGCTCTCTTCTAGGAACCGCAGCGCTTCGTAACAGCAACGGCCGAGCCAGAATTGACCCGAACCGTCGCTGCGCTTGCGGTTGCTCTGGAGCCCTAGAGGGTCCGCGTTCGCGAGGAGAGCAGAGGGCACAGCGGCGCCTTCGCGGAAGAGGCACGCCGCAACAGCGACCGTCAAGGTGAGGTCCTTGAACGCGGCGGCCGCGGCGGCTAGATTGCCCTCGGCTGCTGCCGAAACGGGTTCCTCGGAGCCGCGCAGCAGGGCCATCGCGTGGCCGTCGGTTAGTTCAGGGACCTCCACCTGCGACACGGGGACTTTAGGTGTCGAGTTTTCGAACAAACCGGATGGGTTTCCTTAGAGACGCCGGAGCAAGGCGATCGTGTGATCATATACCGACTCTGAAACCTCTAAGTGCAGCGAGACAAATTCGGGTGAGAATCCAGTCAAGGGTCAAGGGTGCATCAGCTTAAGAGGGCCACAAAAGGCGCAGCAAGTCGCGCAAAACGGACTTTCTATGTTCACAATATTCAACACGCGAGGAGACTATCATCACTTGACGTTTCTAACGGATTGCACCATTTGGGTGACCAGGCACTGCCGGGACAGGGGGGCAGACAAGTTGATACAGCATGCGTTCACCCCCAGCGTAAACTCTGTGGGCCTGTGCGTTTCGGAACCAGAAATTTTCCCTTGACACCCCCTGCGGAAATAAAACGAGTCGTGCTTCATGTCTTTCTGCCTCAATTGCTTTTTATCTTTCGAGTCACCCTAATGATCAGAGTCCTTAAACATATCATATTGATACAGTCGACAAGTAGAAAGGAAATTTCGAATCAGAACATGCATAGCCGATCCCTCATGATTACCCCAAGACCACCTACCGGCTCCCCCAAACTTCCACAAAACACTCCTTCCAAGCGCAACGAGATACAGATTTAACGACCCTGAAAGTCCAGGACCCTTACAACCCCAAACGGTCAGAACTGTCCCTGCAGCCTCACAGCTACAGGAATACACCTTCGTCTCAGGCGTGCTGGCTGTGACATCTATACGGAGCTCACCCCCACTGTTGTCAAACCGGCAAGCTCCCATCCAAAACCCTAGACTCTGAAAACTCAAACCCTGTGATTTTGACGGCATCTCACCTCGGCAGAGCCAGCCACCTTCATTTCGGGCGTGCTGGTGGTGACAACCAGGTGAAGCACACCCCGCTCATCGGTCGGCACCATCGTGCTTAAGTTGACGTTCTCGTCCGCCCCGTCGATGACGAGTAGCAAGCGCCCCGGGTATGCTTGGATGCCAGCTCGCACCTGCGCCGCACGCTCCTCCCAGCTTGCCTGTGCGATGAGGTCCACTCCCAGGTACGCACCGAGTTGCAAGTAGCGCACGCGCCACGCGGGGGTGCTCGCGGAGAGCCACAGCACCTTGTCATACTGCGTCAGGTGTCTGCGAAGCCGCGGCGAAACGAGATTGAGTCTTGCGGCAGAGGAGGGAACCATGACGGGGACTTTCAAACGGGGGAAGAAATCATTCCTTCGTCGAAAGGCACTAGCGTCTCAATCATTCACAATCTCTCGAAGCACTTGATTTTATGTATGGACAATAAAGTGAGATCCTTCCTGCATGCAAGACGCACTGGTCCTGAACTGGAGCGAAGGGAGGTGTTGGATCATTACTAGAACGAAATTGGCGGCGCTCCAGGAAATTGTCTCCACACAGCACTCAAGCCACCAATCGCTCAACCAGTAATGTGGCCTTTGCCCGTTTCCCCTGATGAAATATCGTGTCCTTATGGTAGGACGTCGTAGTCCACGGCAAGTACACACAGGGGCCCCAGCGAATGCTAAACTCTCCAATGCTCTTCTTTATCGCCACACGGCTGTACTTTCAAAGATGCCCCATGGACTTTTTCTGTCACCCTGCTTCCAGAGGCGCCAGCCATTTTTCACAAGTGAGTTTTTAACCTGCGGCGTTCAAAAGCACAGTGGCACCTGATGCGTGACGCCAGGTGATGCTGTCCCTCGTGAAAGGTGGGTCAACCAGGACCATTTTGATGCCTAGAAAGAAAGATGAAGGACGACATATCTTGCACAAAAACCAAGAACAAAAGGTGCCGGCCAGCACAAGCTGCGCCAGCCTACGCGCCAGCAAAACCGCAACCAGACTGAAAAATAGACAACGGAGTATGTAAGAAGCTCACCTTTGCACGTATGTCAAGACAAGCTGCGTCTTGCCCATCCCCCGCCGGCTCCGCACGAGCACGGTGCGGCGGCCGAGCGGAGGCACATCTCCCAGAACCTGCTGCATTCTCATCAGCAGCGCGTCCCGCCCCCGGAATGTCGAAATCGGGCTCGGCAGCGAGTTGTGCTTGGCCGCCCGCTGCTCCGGGGACCCCAGGAGTACCGCTTGGCTGCGCGAGACGAGGGCCCCCGGGACGCGGAAGTCGGGTTCGGCGCACAGCTGGCGCCGCAGTTGCTGGAGGAGCGCAATCAGCGAGGCGGCTGGCTCGATGGAGTCCGTGTCCTTGAGGGGCGCCTGGAGAAGTGCAATAGTGTGTCAAGTGGAGCTAAATGTTAGCCAGATTTGAGGTTTTCGGCGTCTCCATTTCTCAGCAATTGGGGTCACGCCGTCAACTCTTTCTTCCTTGTTGACGTTAAGAAAGAAAAGAGGAGGAAACGCGGCGAGTTGGAAGGCGCAGGAGCCTGGAAGGGGTAAGGATCTCTGTTGTTGAGTGGTTGTTTGATAGTGGACCACTTTAAGGGGAGCGCCTCAGCGTCCTCAGTCCTGGAGTTGGAGGGGCAGAGGCAAGGCCAGGAAAACTAGGTATGCCATCTTCAGAGATTTACAATGTTGAAGATTGAGGCGTCCACCTCATTTGATACTCTTCCCCTCTTTTCTATGTTGTACAACAAAACGAGAAAACGCTTGGCAGGAAAAGTAGGATGAACTGGATGCTCAAAAGTTCAAAAGCCAACCCTCGTAGGCAAGAGACGACTCGGCAGAGGCATAACAGAGGGCAGACTATCCAGTAAAAACAAATTTAATAAGTTGTGCGTTCTGACGGAGGACTCTGGCCTACCAGTGCAAAAAGCTGGTGTATACACACAACATGAGCTCTGCATGATCTTTCCATCGAAAGTGCACCCTATATCATGATTGAAATTTTTGACATTGCCTTGGCAGACCCGGTCTAGCTCTCTTCAGGCTCTGGTTGCAAAACACTGGCAGCTTGATTTGCTGTCGTGACCAAAAGGGGGATGCATAATTCAAGTAGCAATGAAGCAATGCTGCTGTAACCACAAAACCACGTGCAATGCAGACTGAAGCGACTCTCGGGTTTGGCATGCTCAAAAGCTCGTTTGATTTTTGGAGTCATTCCTCGAAGTACGCCAGGATCCTGAAATGATAGCAGATCGGGATGATGCGCCACAGAACCAGGTCCTCAGAGGATCAGCTGATTGTCAATACTAGACGCCGAGAGCATTGCCTCAGCATCCCTCAACCAGCCAATCACGTCGGTTTCTTCAAGCTCTTCCAGAGCTGATTGCATCACTTCATAACCAACTCGTATCTAGTCTGTATCTTGTCGACAACAGGCCACAAATGCATATTTCGTCAAGTGTTTGACACAAAACTTCCGCAAAAGGGAAGGCAACATCCCCACAGGGCCCTCTGTGTCACTCTGCGTACATTTCAAGGTCCTCTTACCTGTGACCACAGTCCCAACCAGAGCACATAAGACAGGGGGACCAGCAATTCATTGAGACTAGACACAATTCTTCCCCAAGGTCGCACGCAATCACAAACTTCTCACCTTAAGCAGTCCCACCGTCTGAAGGAGCGCTGTGACCGTCTCTTCCAGGAGACCTTGTGTAAATTGGGTCAGACCTGTGCCATACTGGTCGAGCGGCTGCGTCAGATCACGCGCCGCACTTTCCAGGGCCTCGGCAGGGCCCTCGTTGGAGCCAGATCTGGCTAGCTGTGCAATCATTGCAATGAGGTCAAAGGCAGCTGACAGCAGGCTGCCATTTCGCGACCCAGCAGCCTTGCGAACCTCTCCCTCTATCGTCAGTTTGCCTTCCTTGCTCCAACTGGTTTGGTCTGTCGCACTCAGCAGCGACAGGCACCGCACCAGCAAGTCTGCCGGTGGGGGCTCAGAGGGTGGCATGGCGGAACCTTATTGAAACAAAAAGCTTACTTTCAAGGAAGTACGTCACAATCTCGAGATTGTCCTCAAGTACTCAAATTGGCGTCCGAAAGGAAGGTACTTGGCCAGAACCCCTTTCAACGTGTTCTGCGAGATCAGCCTGAGCAAGGCAACCTCATTCTCCGTGCTTGGTGCTTCTCTAGATGCACCCAGCCCAGCAACCGCCTGCAGAAGAACGTTCTATGGATCGCTTTGCCAGTGTCTTCTTGTGTTGCTCCAACCGTTGCAAAACGCATTTCCAAGGGAGCTGTCTAGCGTCGCCTTCTCTTTCAAGAGCTAAATTGATCAGAAGTGACTGCAGTCTGCATGTCCACTTCAAAGCGTCCTCAAAAACCGAAAATCAGGGAGCTTCGATTTACTCCCGCAATCAGCGAATCTGTAAGTTCAGAGGCGTCGATTGCTGAACCAAAGCTTTTTCAACCGTCCGTCTTTCCACGCGTACACGGATATTGACCATCCTAATTGGCACGGTGAGTACCAGGAACGCCGCAGTCAGCAGATCCATAAAGGTACGGACCGTGAGGGAAAGAGGCAGCCTTAAAACCGGCCAAAATTCTGTTTGCCCCTAAAATCAGAACCCCGTTTATACACGCAAAAAGGGAAATTTTGTTGGTCAAGATCCTTCACAGGTTTCCCAAACCTTTCTACCGGGTTCTCTTGCACACCAGATTTCGAGAGGGATTTCCCTTGCCGGTACAGACCACAAGTCAGAGTGTGCACACCAACACTGCGGTGACGCAAAGCTATCATTCGAGCTGACACCCCGTCATCTGTTTGCAGAGTCAATGCAGACTGAAGAGTATTGCTTGCGCAACCGGAGTGTCAATACCAGTGCCACCTGGGTAAGACAAAAAGCGTCAATCATATGATCATGACAATCAGATCTCCTAAATTCTCGGAACAAAATATGCGCCGTGAATGAGTTTTAAAGCACATCCAACGGTTAGAATCTAGGAGCCTACATCGACGGCTGAGACGAGCTTCAGGCATGTGCCGGCAGGCCGGGATTGACGGTTGCTCGCGGCAAAAAGTACTCGCCCGGGGGTACCGTGACGGCCCCCGGGCGGGTCGCTCCGCTTCCGAATTTGGATTAACTTGGATTAACCTACTTTGGATTAAGGTAGAGCCTAACGTGTGCGGGCAGCGGCAGGTGCCCGGTCCTGGTTCGTGCAGGGTTAATACTTTTGCGTTTTGACCGCTTTCAATTTCAAGTTAGCGAGCTCTGATTCCTGAAGCTTGATGGCTGTTGACGCCCCCGACCAGAGGTGCACGAGGTCCTGTTGTTCCGGGAATCAATCGTTGCATGCTCATTGCTACCTCTAACTGTCGATCCAAGACGGTTAATATGGGAGGTATATTATTGGTGTTAATAAAATTATTGCCTGGCGCTAGCCTTGAAAGTCACGTCTGCTCTCTTGAAAGAAGCCAAGAGAACACGGATCGAGGACAATGCGACGATGCTAGGTAGATAGCGAAGGTTAGCAGATGTCCCAGGCGTCTTGCCTACTAGAGACTATTTTGCAGCATACTTCGCAGCGAGCCTGGCGGGCGGTCTGCTGCTTTTCTTTCAGAAAGGAGCAAGCATAGTTATATGTGAGCCTGAACAGGACGCTGTCGCTGCGAAACAAAGCTCGGGTGCCAGGCACAGTGAAACTTTTGTTCAGAGGAAGTAGCTATCCACCAAATTCACTTCACTAGCATTGAGTCTAGCTGGCGTCGCTACTAGATGGAGGTCCGGCCCCGCCGCACGCTGGCCTCACTGGCGCCGCTCGCCCTAGCAGTGGCGTTGTTGCTTGCCTTTGCCCTCTGGGAGGCAAATCGCTGGAATGAGGGCGCTCCGCACACGCAGCACATCGGCCGCTTGATATCCTTGTCGAAAGCAGTGACCGCTTCTGTCAATAGAAAGCCCGCTTGTGCTTTGGAGGGGGGGGCCGCGAATGGGGCGGGAAAGAGTGAGTTGATGTCAGCAGGCGGCAAGGTGGTGTCGACGAAAGATGGAGCGGAAATTAACGCGCCACTGGCGCGATGCTCGTCCGCCACTCTTCTGGGGGGGTGGGACAACAACACATATGTCCCCCTGCCGTACGACGCGCTCGCGCCGTTCCTGGATGAGGCGCGGGGGATGTTATCGCAGGCGGAGCGCCGCTTTTTCTTGCCGCGCAGAGAGGGTGTCGAAGTTGCGCCGAAGTACCTTCCTGTGAACAATCCAGTTGGCCTGTCAGAAGATGAGCCCGTCTCATTTCATCCCCCCTGCTACTACCACTTCTACAACAAAAAGGAGATTATGCGGCTGTTTGCGGGCAAGTGGGTGTACTTTCTGGGGGACTCAAACACGCGGGGGATGTTTATCGGTTTTCTTGCAACCTTAGATCCTGAGCACCGATCGCCATACGTAGATGAGAAGTGGTTCAACGGCACAAAGGACGAGGTCAATTGGCCGCACGTGAACAACATCCATTACTTCTTTAGAGAGGATGGGTCCATCTTGTTCAAGACTGGCAGAGGATCCACGGATCAATTGCCGACTTTTCCGGAGAGCGGGTATAGCTTCCGGCTGTCATACACGATGAGTCATGTAAGGCCACCAAAACACTTTGTTCACACAGGGTCTGTCTGTCCTTTGGCATGCTTACAGCTACTTCTGAGCTGAACTTCACTTTTAGTGAGAAGGTTTAGGCTAGACCAATCAAATTGCTGTTAAGTGACGTTAGAACCTCATAGGCCTTTGCAGGGTTTGCTTCTTGTTAACTTCAATTTTAGAGAAAAGGTTTAAGCTAGACCAATCAAATTGCTGCTGAGTGACGTCAGAACTTCATAAGCTTTTGCAAATTGTGCTTCTTGTTCAGGGATGCAAGACCTTCCTTGCGGGGCCATGCTTTACGGGTGTTCATGCTGGGCAATGGACCTCCCGTGACAGCAATCTGCGTGATGCCAGAACGATACAACTCTGCTTTCGCCAACTATAGAGAGATTGAAATGGCCGTCAGTTGTTTTCTGAGTACCTTTTGCTCAGAGGACCTTTCACAAATCAACGCATTGATTGCCTTCTGATTGATGTTCGTTCAAGGAGATGAGCTTCTGGTACCAAAGTGCAGAGGCATCGGATTAGGCGCCCAACAGGCCTCTTTATCCATGCTCTTCTACTTGGTGTTGGTTGTCGGTCAATCAAACACACATGCTTCGTACGAAGTACCCGTTTTCGGTCCCTTTAGCGTCCACTTCGACTATGAGCGCCTGGTGCGAAAATCCGCCGGGATTCTGCCCTCAAAAAGTGCGGGCCAAAGAAAGTTCGAAAGCCTGACGGTTCTTCTAATTGAAGCTTTTCCTTGCTAATGACCCCGAACACAGGTACTTCTGACAGTCTTTACGTCAGCCTTATCAATCGATCTGATGAACATCGCAGGACATGAGTATCTGCAGGAGATTTTGAAGGAGGTTGAATGTGTTCTGTTGCCTATAAATCAATCAGAGAATGCTTCCAACAGTCTTCAAACCAGCCTTACTGCCCGTGATACACACTTCTGTCTTCTTCAATTGCGTAGAAACGAGCCCCATCCGACCGACCAATATCTTCACCTGAAGTTTCCTTTCAGGAGAATGAATCGAAACAATCGGCGCATTGACCTCTCTTCTTTGCGCCGCTTCGTGCTGCAGACAGTTCGGCAAACCCGACGGCCCCGTGGTACATTTTGAAGGACATGACTTATCTGACTGATACTATGAAGGAGGTCCAATGCGCGCTCTTTCTTATCAAACAACCACGAACGACTTCCAACGTTTGTCACACCAACCTTAATGAGTTGATTATTCCTGCAGGACATCGAGTATCTGACGAAGACCATGAAGGAGGTCCAATGCGCTCTCTTTCTTGTCAACCAACCACGAAATACTTCCAACGTTTGTCTTACCAACCTTATTGACTCCGACTAAACCTTTTGCAGGACATCGAGTATCTGATACAGACTGCGAATGAGACTTTGGGCGACGGCGAGTGGGCGCCAGACGTGCTCCACTTCAGCTCCGGTGCTTGGGACTCGGGCGCCCTAAAACGACCAGAGGAGTGGAATCTCACACGGGTGGACAGGGGTTATGGCCGAATGTTCGACTTAATTGCGGAAAAGTGCAACCCCAAACGCCAGGTATGCTGCCGGTTGCTTACATAAGCTGTGCTTCTTTTTGTAGACATAATGAAATGAATCACTCGCTGAGATTAGTTGAAGGCATTGCGTGGAGACTGCTGGGCTTTGTAAAACTTGGTCGTAATCGTTGTCGACAAGCTTCGGCAGTTAACGATTGGTTGTACCATGCTTGCGAGCATGCCCTGTTTTGCCGAAGTTCTTTCCATTGAAAAGTACGTCCAGCGATTGAGAAATTGAATCATCACCCGCTGGTGCTGGTTGGTTGGAAGGAAACCTACATTCGTTATGTTTGGGGTTTAAGGCTTGTCTGAGCAGCTTGTCCGGACCTGTCTATGTCTGACCACAGAAATACAGAAGGACGACAGACGCAAAGTTCGAGGTGGTTGCTCGCTAAATTGAACGGAAACTTCTTTCTGCCTGTGCCCTTCTACCCTTCTCGAGCCTCACTGAGTGTAGATTCTTGCCGCTTCCCTGTTTTTGAAATGGCGGCTTGCGTCTTCTGCACACATTTCATGCCGTCAGTCTTCCAAGCTTTCTGGGCCATCAATTCCATCGCTTCTTCTATACGTTTTCCCTCATCCAGCGCAACGGCAGACCCTTAACTCAGACTGCCATGACCTGACATTATAAGCTGATCAATCTTGCTGTGCTCACCAGCCTTCCCCTCTCGTTGATAATAAAACATGGCTCTTGGTTCGCTCGTTCTTGAAAGCGATGATCTCGAAGGACTCTTTGAGTTCAACAAATGGGCAACCTTTCTTCTTCCAAAACGATTTCAGAGTTGGACAATGCCAGAAGCCGGTGGTCTTCGGCTTTCAACAAAAGTTAGCAAGCGGACCGATTCCTTGAGGAGGTCTATTTCCTAACCGGTTTTCGTGGATTCAAACTTGGCGAAGCGCAAAGACAGCTGTTCGCGACCCGAACGTACCATAAATGCATCAGGGAATGAGTAGTTTGTGAGGCATCAAAAAAATCTGTAAAGCAGGATCCGATCTTATGATGGAGCCGTTGCTTTCGGGGTTTTATGCGGTTCCATGGAGAGTGACACGCTTCTAAACTGAGAGAATCTTGAATTAGGATTAGAGAGCATGCGAAGCAAACGGACACTCCTAACCCATCTCCGCAGGTATGCTTTTGGGGCACCATCGGCAGTCTGCAACAAGTCGACGATTCTTGGTGGGACGGCTTAGCCGTCTTGCAGTGGCGACACTGGGCGCGAATCCACACGCGCCAAGTGGACGCAGGAAATGCGTCCACGTTGCACATTCTGGACCGTTACTGGATGGCGTTCAACCGGCTTGACCAGAATTTTGGCGGCCATATGACGACGGCGTTCAACTCGTGGATGCCGCAGATCATGATGAACGCTTATCATAGCATCGCAGAGGACCGAGGGTTACTAGCAAACCCGGTTCAGTTGGCACAACCAAGTCGGAGCTACCGTGCGGACGAAGTCGAATGCGTGTTATTGCCGGGGGACGAGAAAGGGCGGAAAGTGAAGTGCGAAAAGTATCCGTTGAGGGTCGACTTTGAGGAGGGGTGCACAATCGATCGAGATACGGATGTGCAGAATGCGGGGGACACGCATATCATGTGGGCACGGAGCTGCGATCCGCAAGTAACTCTGTAGTCCCTTGGTTGGGGAAGAATCTGTATTTAAAGTATCGTCAACAAACCAGCTAGCTTGAACCAAGGCACGCGCAGCTAAAACTTGCAAGTCAAGATACAATTCCTGTATAGGTCTTGCGCGCGCTAAAATTCTAGATTGTGCTAGGCTAGTAAACTTAAACTCGGCCTGTAAATTACAAATATCTGTTCACGCGGCCGGGTGTTGCAAGACGCTACGCGTATCATGTACTTCAAAGTATTTGCTCGCAACTTTTGAAGATGAGTCTCAGGTGTGCTTTACCAAGGTCGATCATGGGCGAAGGGAAAGCTAGGTCGACGATGTACATGCACGCAACCGCAGTCTATGCTGGAAATTACTTGCCAGCCAGTTCTGAGACCGGCGGCGGCGGGTGGATAGCTGTTTAAAGCGCGTGCCGTTATTGGGCACGACTGGCACACAGACACTTACCGCCATCATCATTGAGCATGACAGAGCTAGACGACGGACGGTACATGCACATGCATGCATGCACTATTGTCAATTGCAAACAGGCGGCACGCGCAACGGGGCCACTAGGATCCCTAGTCACTGAAAGTAAATTATCATGTATATGGCGGCCCATGTGCTATAATGATTAGCTAGCTACATGGCATGCTTTCACTTAATATCACGAGCCTTCACAAATGTCACGCACGTGGAGAACACACGATGCCAGCCAAATAGACCATGTTCGGATCTGGCTGATTGCACTTCCTTCGTTCGCAAATGCTTCAGATTTCAAACAGATACCGCACAAATACCACCCCAGACGAGGTCAACAAGACAGGAAATCTCGTGACAGGATCTTTGGGCCTACCAACGTGCCACAACAGACGCTTCCATCTCCAACTCTTTCATCAGACTCTCCTCCGCCTTTCTTTAGAAACGAGCTTCGTACTTATGATGAGGCAACCGCCCTCTCCCGAGTCTGCATATTGTTTTCTAGCTTTTCGCTTTCTCACGCTTGTCACCATCATCACTTTCTTATCTGCGTAAAGCGCGGATCCCCGCCGGCGGGCGGCCCGCCAAAGCTGGGGGCGCCGCCCAAACCTCCAAACCCTCCGCCTTGTGCCGCGGCACCGGCGAACCCTGAAAACCCAGGACTTGCTGCACCTGCCACGTATGAGAAGAACTTTTCAATCCCTAGAAGCGGGCGATTCGGCGGTGCTGTAAAAGAGGGCGTATATTTGGGCGGCTCACAACGTCAGCACGGGTTAGTGACAAGCAGAATTTCGGGCTCGGGGAATATTGCTGCCAACTTGGGCCTGTCGGCGACACGAGTGCGCAGAGGTACACTGCACAGTCGCCGTGTGACGTCAGGGGACGACTCCTTCGACGACCTCTTCAAGGCAGCCGAAAACCCGCCACGGACACTGTATACCTGACTGATGGCAGCGGAAACGGCGGCTACGAAGGCGACCTAGATACTTGGAGTTGCTAAAGTAAGAACGGTACTCTAAAACTTTCTTCAAGACAGGAAAGTACTCGCTACCGGTGGAAGTGACGCCAAATCCACGAGGTCCGAGTCAGGCAGCAAGCGCTGCAGCAAACGCAGGCTGAATGCATTTCGCGACTCATCGGATGGTTCCAGGATATCGAGCCCAATCCCGACAGATTCTGAAGAACACACTCGGCAGCGCACACCGGCAAAAGCAGCTCTAGATGGGAAGTGTCGAGCCGTTTGTTCAAGTCTGTCGTGACCATCTCATATTTTACCTCTTCGTCTTGCCATGCTGCAAACTGCACAGAAAAGCATCTAAAAGCTCACCTCCGAAGCCTCCAAACCCTGAGCCAGGCGACGAAGCCGCGGCCGCAAAGCCCCCGCCACTGGACTGGCCGGCAAAACCTCCAAACCCTCCGGAGAGTTTAGCCGCGAAGCTGCCGAAGGCGCCCGCGGTCGGGGCGCTCCCAAATGCGGGCGCCGATTGGGCGACTCCTGCGGGGCAAGAGACGGAATTTGAAGCGTCATAGGCGTTGGTGATACTCGTTTGCGCGATCTCGTTTGCGTGGTAAGCTCTGAAGCTACTCATTCACGCGACAGACGTTGACCTGATCATCGTTCTTTGCTACCACTCATCCCTGAACGTTCCTGGTAGGACTCAAGTCACTGAGAGAGACGTTGATCTGATCATCGTTCTTCGCTACCCACTTATCGCTAAACGTTTCTGAATGGTATACTTAAGGATCCAGGCACTGATTGTGTCAGTCCACACGAGTTTTGCGCAGAACCCTCGCTAAACCTGGGGACCAAGGAAGAATCGTTCAGTGGCGGAAAAGAAGGGGAGTAAGTACGAGCCCTGCTTCGCTCCTCACGTCTGGTGTTCCAACTGCTACCAGAGATGGTGTAGCCCATTTTGCGTTTCATGACGAAGCTCACACTCGGAGCGCCAGGCCATATTTCTGCTTTGCTCAACCGTTTCCGCTTACCTCACAGAAGCTCGCTCAAAACCCATCAGTAACCGCAAATACTGGGTCATTTACTGCTTCGCCCCTAGAAATATGGACACATCAGATAGCTTGTTGAATCGCTTTATAGCAGATGCTCACCAGGCAGCGCCGGCCCCAGCGTTCTGCTCTGTCCAAACCCGCCGACCATCCCCCCGATAACCTGGTTTGATGACGTGGCTCCTCCGATCTGCCCCGGACTCCCAAACCCGGAACTGGCCGGTTGCCCAAAGCCTGAACCCCCAAACCCTGGGCTCGCGGGCTGCCCAAACGCTGATCCCGCAGTCGGCGCGCCAAACGGCGATGTGATTTTACCAAACCCACTTGGGTTAGCTGAGGCAGTGAAAGGAGAGCTGGCCCCCGGGAGTGCAAACGAGGCCGGTTTGAAGAGCGCGTTTGGGTCCGAGGGGGGGGCGGAGATGGCGGGGGAAGGAGCCCCGGGAGACGGGAACGACGTTAAGCCGAACGGGCTCGGTTTGGAGGGGTCAGCCGGGGTTGCGCTTCCTAACCCAAAACCTCCAAACCCACCAAACCCGCCGAGGGCCCCAGCCGCGTTCGAAACGTCTTCTTCGTCCATAGACTCTTCTTTCTCTTCCTGGGGGGGTGGAATTGGTGGCGCTGGAGGAGGGGGGGCGAAAGACTGCATCGCAGGCTGGATTTGCGCAAATGCAAAAGGAGATGGGGTTTTCACACTTGGTGGGGACGAGAACGGAGAAGCAGAAGCAGCCACCGGAGACGAGGGTGTGAATGCGGGGAACGCCGTACTCGAAAAGAGGGCTCCCGGAGACTGTGATTGAGGGGGGGTGGTTCCGAACGGGGAACTGGGCACCTCCGTCGGGGGTGTCCGGGGGCTTTCCGGATTTTCCGGCGCTTCTGGGGGAGGCGGGCCGTCCGGTGCTGACACCGGTTTTTGGGCTGGAGCGGGAGAGGACACTTGCTCGGGCAGTTTGGTGTCAACCGGGGCGTTTTCCGCAGCCTTTGGACCTTCCGGTTTTTGCTCATCCTCGTTTGCTGACTGCCCGGTCGCTCGATCTGGAGTCCCAGCCTGCTGCTCTTTGCTTTGATCGAGACTGCTTGACGGCTCTTGCTCCTCTGCTGAAGGGATTTGCTTCTCCTCTCCGCTCTTTGAATCCAACTTGAAAGCGAGGGGTTTGAGGAACGGCGCCGCAGAGACACCGAACGGGCTCGGCGTTTCGCCCGTTGTCGCAGTCTGCGGTTTGGCAAACCCTGCAAATGAGACCGGGGGAGCCGCGCTTACTGCTCCAAAGAGGTTTGGTGGTTTAGCCCCTTCCGAAGCCCCTTGTTTCCCTGCTCCAAAATTGAAGGACTGGCTAAAACCGGCGAACCCGGAAGCGGCCCCAAACGATGCAAACCCAACCGCAGGGGCTTTGGAGGTTTCTGGCGCTTCTGACGTGGCAGCTTCGGGCTGTGCCACGTGTTGTTTCCCCGTTTTCGGCGCTGACGTGTCGACCGGCGGCGCTTCCGTTCGATCGCTTACTTTCTTCTCAACGCTTATTCTCTCCTCATTACTCATTTGCGTCTCCTCGCTTCTCCTTTTCTCATCGCCTCTCTTCCGCCTCTCGTTGTCCCTCCCCTCCTCTTCACTAGGCGCCTCGTCATCGCTTATGGTCACCTCATCACTTATGCCCCTATCGCCCCGGCGCTTATCCCCGTCCCTCTTCCGACTTCTCCCGACATCAGAGGCGGTCTTTGCCAGCTCAGCGAATGACGAGAAGCCCCCGGCTTGCGGCGGAGCCGAAACCGCAGAGTTAAGCTTTACCCCCGGTCTTGACCCTGCCTCTCTCTTACTGCCAGCGGGCTGAGAAGTGACGCCAGCGAAGCCCGAGAAGAGCCCAGGCTGCGAGCTGGCCGCCGGCACCGATGCGGCTGACGTCAGCGTCGATTCGCTCGTGTCGAACTTGAGCTCCGAAACGGTGGCTGGGGCCGCTTTCGACGAGCTGGGTGCTCCGAAACCGGCGAAATCGGATGTGGGGCCGGTCGAGAATGGATTGGTGGCTGGCTTGAAACCGCTGTCGCTTTTCCCCGTCATGCTAGTTGGCCTAACTGGCAGCGCGAACCCGCTAAACGGTCCCGACGTCGAAGCACTCGTCCCTTCCTTCGAACCTGGCCCCGTCCCAAAAGGAGCAAAAGCGGTGCTAGAGACCTGTTTGACCCCCTCCGCACTCTTTTGTCCAAAATTAGCAAATGGACTCTGGAACGGGTTCTGGCCGAAACCGGGGGGTTTCGTCTTGGGGGGCTCGTTCGCGCGGGCAACCGGACCCCCCGAGGGCTTCGCTTGCGTGGGGGGGGGCTGTGCCTTGCCGGGCGTCAGTCCCCCCGAAACGGGGCCGCTCACGCCGAAGGCCTGCGGGCTTCTGCGGCTAAGCCGCCTTTCGGCTTGCCGTTGTTCTCCTTCCGAAACCGCTTCGATCTCGTCCTCTTCGGTGTAAACGGACTCTTCGGATGCCTCTTCGACCAGCTGGGGGGCTCCGGACGTCCGGCGGGAGAGGTGGGCGCCTATCATGAAAGGAGCGAGGGGAGCTCTTGAGAAGCTGGAAAAGAACGACACATCGGGGCGCCTACTAGTAGGAGAGGAAGAGGGGCTGTTTATAGGCAGGAACAAACGAGAAGCTATGTGCTGATTTTATGCACAGAGAAGTGCTTATCTGATGCAGAGAAAAATCGGCTGAATGCAAGGAGAGCCATAAACAGGGGACGGCACAACTACGTGTGTTGCGTATCGTTAGCCAGGGGCACTCGTGAAGAAGTGAGCAGGTTCAGTATTGAAATACAAGAATAATCATTTCAACGAGCACAATTTGATCAAGCTCAATACTTGGCCGGGGGGCTGTGCTCGTATATAACGAGCTTGGATGTAGTACGTCACCAGAGCTTGCGTTCAAAAAGCAGAGGAGATCAAGTACTCAGCAAGTGACGGAGGAACAGAGTCGCCCACTTACCAGCATATGGCACGGGGGAAGGGGGTGGCTGCGCTCTCTGAGAAGTACCCCCTCTTTTGATGGTGGTCGTGGGTGCGTGGTACTTGGAGAGACCCTGAAACAGGAGCCAGCGTTGAGTCTGGCGGTGTTGGAAAACAAGAAAACTATCTCAAAGGCTCCGATCGTTTCCGTGTAACAGACCCAATTTGCTCAGCTTGAGGGATGCTTCTCCTCCCTTGCCGATCCGAAAACAAAATATGAGAAGGGAGTAGAATAATCAAAAAAGTCTTGGTCCTTTCGAGCAGAACACTACGGGAACCCGGTGCATCATTTAAGCGCCCCAGCTTTTCCTAGCTTCTTTTCTTCCCGTCGCGGAAGCCAATTATGAAGGCCCGGCATCACCTAACAGCCTCTCATTTTATCCTGGAGATGAGGCACCAGATCGTCGACTTCAATAAAAGGACTCCGCAACTCACGAGTGTTTGGTATGAAAGCTCTGCCTAATCAAACTCCTGCTGAGAAGCACGCAGAAACAACCCAGAGTTACATGGATGCTGAAGAAACTCAGCACCCGAGCTTTTGAACGGGTTTAGTTGCATCTGCGAGTTCCCTCAGGACGTGATCAACCTAAAATATCAAAGCCAAAACTCTGACGTCACCAGCTCACCTCCCGAGCGACTCTCCTCTCACTCAGTGGCGTACCCTCCCCGAAAATTGGCGTGCCCGCTTTCCCCGCGGACTGGGGGGTCGCCGTCCCTGCTCTTCTCACCCCCCCATTCGCGGAGGCGGGGGAGTAGGTAAGCCGCTGCTTGGGGAGGGGGCTCTTGGACGGGCTGACGTCACCTATGACGTCATCAAAGTCCGGGACACGGAAGACGGTGCCGGTGCCAGTCCTGCAGAACAAAAGTGGGGTCAGTGCCTTTCCGGATGCTTCCGGACACTTGGAAGATATCGATCGGACAAGCTTCGACCACTGTCGAGATACGGTTCTAAAGTCCGACAGAAAGTGTCCCAGAATCCGATCATTTGACAAGATTTTGAAAGAAACCTGTATGCTCAGAGTCCAAGGATGTTATCACGTTGAATGCTGCCTCCGTTTGAGTGGGCAGGCGTAGTCTGTTCTTCTTTGAAAGGAGAACAACTTAACGACTTGAATTCAGGGAAATTTGCATCGCCTGCTTGTCACTACTTTTTGACAAAATCCAAACTGTTTCGGGAAAGCGCAAGCTTGCAAGCCGACGCTGACCTCATTGCTGACGACTTTGGGGTGCGCACAGCTGGCGAGCGCTCGGTGGGCGAGATGTTGAGCGACCGTAGGATCTCCTCGGCGCGGGGGGTGCTCTCCATGCCTGATTTTGGGGGGGTGGCGCGATCGTTGATTCCCAACTGGGCCATGAGGTGGGTTAAGCGGGACGCCTGTTCTTGTGCGACCGCCATTTGGGTGTTGACTGTATTGTACAGGGACTGAACTGAAGGTTTCGGCCTGCGGTTGAAAAGGGTTATTGCGTGGTTAGGGTCGGTTAAAGGGCCATGAGGTGGGTTAAGCGGGACGCGTGTTTGGGCGACCGCCATGTAGGAGTTGACTGGTTGTACAGCGATTGACCGAGGGTTTTGGCCGGCGGTTACGGAGGGTTACACGATAGTATCGACGCAAGTGGATGATTGCGGACTTGGAAAGCCAGCAGACGCCTGCTCAAGAAGGATTCCGCTCTTACGACATAGTTCCAACAATTACAGGCCCAACATTAGACAGGTTGATAAAATGGCTTCTACCCTAGACTACCCAAGTGTTAAAGCGAATCCAGAAAAGGAAAGAAGCACAAAGAAAGAGGAGTTTGAAGAGAACCAATTAAACCTTAGCTGATTCAATTAGGTAAAAACTATCCCGCGTACAGGGTACACAGATTCGTACAGAACTTGAGATGTGAAGAATGAGGAAGGTGAGCAAGGGGGTCGAACTGCACAGGCAGGCAAAAGCATGCCTCGACTCAAGAGCAACGGGTCAAGATTGCGTCCGCTAGATATTCTCAAGGAACGTAACGAACAAAGTGAAAATTTGAGAGGCTCCAAGCACAGAGGCTCTCTTTTGAGTCACCATGACCGCAATTATTGGAAAAGCACTCGATCGTCACTTGCTTTACCGGCAGCAGAAAGAGCCGCTATAAAGGCGATGAAAGAAGTTTGCAACCGTTCAAAAGCTCACTGTTCTTTGGGCGGGAACGCCCCCTCTTTTCCGGGCCGCTTCGCTCCGAAAGCACCGAGCCGCCGAGCTGGGCTCTCTTTCACTGGGGGCCGTTGCCGCAGCTCCAGGGTTTGGAGGTGGATTTGGAGGTCCGTCAGCTTTCGCTTCAGAGCCTAAGGTAAAGCAAAAAGGGGAATTGATGAGAAAGAAACCACATTTTCTTTTGTATACTTTCGCGAAGAGAGTCAGGTGGTTCTCAAGATCCCTTCACCGAATATTGGCCGCTGCTGCCGTTGCGAACTTCCAAAGTCGACGTTGAGATCCGTCTCGGCTCTGTTTGACAGCTTCGATTGCAAGTGCGAGTAGAGGATGTCAGCAAGTCTCTTATAAACCACTTACCAATGGTTTGAATCTCACAATTTTGCGCCCGTGTATTGTCTGCCGAGCTCCAGACTCCGAAAGACCTACAGCGTCTGCTTGACAGCCTCACGTAGGGAATGACACAAAAGCAGAGCGGTGTTCACCTTATCAGAAAACAGTACTGTCCTTGTGCCTACCTCAGTGCCTCGCAATACGTTTTCCTTTTGCTGACATGCCTGACGGGCTTCTTTGATTGCGGACTCCAGTAAGAATTGCTTTCCTTGGATCCACAGACTCTGCGCCTGGGGAGCTTATCTGGTCCATTGCGAGCAAGTCTTTTCTTTTCGCCCCCACCTTAGGCTCCAGCCCCTTAATATCCCACAAAACCCTAAACTTGGAACCAACTTTATCCGGAAGCGCAGAACCTAATTTTAGCTTACCTGGTCCGTTGCTAGCAAGCCTTTTCTTTGCGCCTCCACCTTCGGCTCCAGCCCCTTCTCATCCCACAAGACTCTAAACCGCTCGTCTCGCGCCTGCTCCACCTTACTCTCGAGCACGATGCGCCACGTGTCAGCTCGGTGCGTATCCGCCATTAGGCCCTGTACCAAACGGTACGAAGGGCCCAATCAATGGGAAACTATGCTTATTGTAAATTGTAAAGAATGCACCATAAAGTTATCAAAAATAAGGAAGCAACCCAAAGACCTGAACGAACACTTTAGCTTCCGTTTGAGTGCCTTCATTGAGCAAGAACGACCGGCAGATATACCAAGAAACTATCGGATTCCTCCTGCCGGAACCCGAAAAGTAGTACGGTCAACCTTCATATCGTGAAGGTTCAGCAAACGCAAACTGCAGAGTTTTGCAGACACGTAAATTCAAGCCGAAGCACGGTCCACGGTCGAGGGAATCTGCCTCAGGGCCATTGTCGAATTCCCAATCTCGGATGGCCGGTCGTTCCAGTTTATGAGATCAATGTCGGAATATGAGAAGCCAGATTCGTGCCGGAACAATGGGCCTTGAAGAGAAATCTGCAATTGACATTCCGCGACCTCACCTGGACCCTACGCCCCGCCCCCGCGACCTCTTCCCGAAGCTCCAGGCACTCCTGATAAAGGGCCGCAGTGCTTCGGAAGAGGCCCTCTAGAGATTCTCGGTGCAGAGGGTTGTTTGAGCCGGCCGGAGAGGAAGCTCTAAGGGGGGCGAGGAGGGCGTCGAGCTCGGCCGCCATGTGCTGGACCTGTGATTTCAAAAGGAGGCAAAGGATCTTGGAGTCACATGCTGAGAGCGACTGATGGATCCAGCGCTCGCTTGAGAAATGCTCCCAGCAGCATGCCTCAGTGCTTCCTATGAGATGACCAAACATAAATGTTCCCGAGCTGACTCCCAAGGGGAGGATCCCTTCGCTTTCTAAAAGCGAGATTGTCATACGACAAAGTGAAACGTTCGGTGGCGAATCTTACTTGAACGCTCGACTCTACATCCGTCACCAGCGCTTCATGCAGGGATGAAATAGAGAAACATCTGAAGCGTTTACTATTTCTTTTGTTGCGATTCTCTAACACTCTGCTTCTGTCCGCCCAGATGCTTACCATGCCCCTTAACCTCTCGGCGCAAAGATCCGCGATTTTGTAATATCCACGTGGTCAAAATACAAGCGGGAGAAACTCAAGTTACTCACCTCATCCAACTCATTCAGAAACTCCGCCTCCTCATCTACCCCACCGGCCGGCTTCTTCCCCTCCTGGGGGGTCGCTTTCCCTGCCGCGCCCTGCCCCCTGCTAGACGCTCGAACCGCCGTCCGTTTCACGTGGCCCTGATTCGCCGCAGGCATGCTAGCCTCCTCCTCTGCCTGCAAGTCCGTCGACGAATGTCCCCTCTTTGGAGAACTGGGTCGCCTCTCCTGCACCGACTCCCGCCTCTCCTGTACCGATTCTCGTTTCCCGAGGCCTTGCAGGGGCGCCGGCTCCTTGTGCGCGGCTCTGGTTTCGAGTAGCGCCGCGGCGGGCGCCTCGGGAACGGGGCCCGCGTCGGCGCTTTTCGGGGGCGCAGCGAACGGGCTGAAACCGCCCCCGGTGCGGAAGCCGCTAAACCCCCCCCCAGTCCCAACCCCTGCAAATCCGCCATTAGGCGTTCCCATCTTGACGGCCTTATCGCCTTCCGGCTTTGCAGGCTCGCCGAACTTCGGAACGGCAAACGGAGAAGAAGCTGCCGGGGGGGGTGCGCTCGTTCTCGCGCCGAAAGCGGGGGTCGTGCGGCCAGACTCTTCCCCGGCATCGGCAGCCGAGAAGCCGAAGGGAGGGGTCGGAGCGAACCCCCCAAAGGCAGGAGATGACCCCCCCAAAGGGGGGGAGGGCGCCGCAAATGTGTTTCCCGAGCTAGAGAAAGCGCCGAAGGGCGACGTCGACGGGCCGGTAAACGGCGGGGGGGTGGGGAGAGGAGCAGTTGAGGGGGCGCCAAAGAGAGGGGGCGCTTGTGAGGGGGTTGAGGGTTTCGGCTGAGTTGCGCCAAAAGGTGAAGTGGCCACACTCGGAGCGGTTTTGTCGATGGGTTTGATGACCTGCTTGCCTTCTGACCCGGGCAGAAAGGCGGGGATTGGGGGCGCGGCAGCGAAGAGACCCGGTCTTGGAGTCTCGGGTTTGGCGCTAACCGGTTTCTCCAGGGCTTTGATAACCTGCTTCCCTTCTGAGCCGGGAAGGAAGGTGGGGATCGGGGGCGCAGCGGCGAAGAGACCCGGTTTTGAAGTCTGGGGTTTGGCGCTGACCGGTTTATCCAGGGTTTTGATAACCTGATTCCCTTCCGAACCAGGGAGGAAATCAGGAATCGGCGGTGCGGCAGCAAAAAGACCCGGTTTTTGAGTCGATTTTTCTGCGCCGTCTGGTTTGGCGAGGGGTTTGATGGCTTGCTTTCCTTCTGAACCCGGGAGGAAGGCCGGGACAGGCGGCGCGGCAGCGAACAGCCCCGGTTTCTGCATCTCCGGTTTAACGCTGTCCGGCTTCGCAAGAGTTCTAATAGCCTGCTTCCCTTCTGAGCCAGGAAGGAACGCCGGGATAGGGGGCGGCGCGGCAAAGAGCCCCGGTTTCTGGGTTGTGGGGTTTGCGCTGTCTGGTTCTTCCAGGGGGGTAATCACCGCCTTATCTTCGGAAGCAGGTGGACGTTTAGAAACTAGGGGCGGCGAAACAGGCTGCCGCTGAAGCGGGGTTGCTCCTTCTTCGTCTTCTAGAAGGTCTGCATCTGCGAAGAAAGAAGAGCGCAGAGGTTTGTTGCTGAAACAGGGCTGCCTTGGACTCAAAACGTCGATCGGCTGCAACAAGAGGAACCCTGAGCTGCTAGCTGGTGTCAAGTGCGGAAAAGCACCTTCTCTGGCACTTTGGTTGACACTACCTGGTTTATGTCCTTGCTGTGGTTTGATTGTAGATTGGATTGAAAAAAGTGTTGACGAGACCTCCGGTGACTAGCAAGGGGGGAGAGTGGAAAGAAAAGCCTCCGAAAATCGTTCTAAGAGCACTTGCAGAAAAATTGTGTGGAGACCGCAACGGAGGCGCTTGGAGGCTCGAGACGTATCAGCGTCCCGAGCTTCTTCTCAGGAAACCTTGTGCACAGGCTCCGTTTCAAAGGCACAATAGCTTCTTTGAACTCCCTGCTTGACTTTTGAGGGCTTGAGTGCGCGAAGTTTTCTGGCAATCGCACTCCCAACGTTGTCGCATGCGCAGCCAACAACACGCTCTCGCATCCCTCTCTCCTGATGAATAGAAGCTGAACGAACAGAAACGCTATTCCTGATCATGCCCATTTTTCCATAACATCGATCGCAATTCAAAGCGCACCTTCATCCGCTGGCGGCAGTGCCTGCCCCTGCGCCGCCCTTGCTTCCGCAGCACGCCGCTCCGCCGCCTCCGCCACAGCCGCACGCAACCTGCTGACGTCGTCGACCGGTTTCGCTTCCTCTGCACCCCCACGGGAAGCTGTACCTTCTCTTTCTTCAGGTGACGGGGCTGCTTCAGATGGCTTTGGCTCTTCTGCTTCTTTTTGGGGGGTTGGCTCTTGAGGGGCGGCTTGGAGCTCTTCCAGGGGGGCGAAAGTTGGGCGCGGAGCGGTAACTAGGTTGGGGACGTCCTTGGCGCCGTCGAGCCTGCAGAAAGCGCGGGATGGACTCCCTTCGGAATGAATGTCGTGCTCTCCGTGCTCTATCTTGGTATGGTTTCCGCTTGATCAAAAACGTCCGCTTGATGTTCTTCAGTTGGCACAGAAATTGGAGAACGAACGTTCGACGATGAGTGAGTGCAATCGAATCTCCCGCTCTTAAGAGACAAAACTCTCGAACAAATGCGAAGGCCGGTCTTCCTTCCGGCACGGAGTCATGGCAGCATCGCCGGAGCTGTTTGTCACTCGACCTCGTTTCGACTTACCCCGTTTGCCAAGGGGCCCGTGTGTTCCTACTCCTGAACTTTAAGGAAACGGGAACCTTGGGTTACTTATGCTTTCCAAAACACCTGCGACCTCTCGACAGACCAAAAACTCGACAACTCCCAACTCGACAACTTTTCATCGTTTTCCTAAGCCTGGACATCGAAGAACCGACCAGCCAGCTTGGAGGTTCACAAATGCAACGCGAAGGAAGCTCCGAACTACAGTCCGTCCTTGGCTCTGGAAGAACGACGCTCTGAGCAAAAGTTCACCTCGCAAAGACGAACGCGCTGAGCGTGCCCTCTGACGTCACGTGCAGCATGATTGGCTGCGGCGGGAGCTGAGTCTCGCGGTCGCGCGGATCGTACAGCTGAATCTGCGTGGACGTCCGGTCGATGGCCAACCCAACCACAAAGTTGTCATCGCCGCTCTCTGCAAGTACGGAACCTCATTGAGAAGTATTCGAGCAAACTTAGTAGCTTCCTCGTCCTCAATCATGCAACTTTTGATCGATCCCCAAATACTATGCCATCAGGGTGAAGTGCTTCGATCCCTCAAGTAACAGTGAGTTTGCGTGGACCTCCGATCGACAGCTGGCGCAACAAAAGTGGCAGCGCCGCTTTCTCAAAAGAGTGTCAGGAAAAATCAGTAGCTAGGCGAGTCTCGTGAGCTTTCACGTAGACAAAGTGCATTAGGATTTGTGACACTTTGCTGAGCTTTCCAAGCCTTATCATCACCACCTTCTTCTTAATCTCGTATAACGACGTTCCCCCGTCAGCCAGCCCAACTACTCGAAGTTGTCGGTAAATTCCTCCGCTAAGGAATAGCTACTCCGAAGCACTGTCCGAATCTTAAAGAGGCCTTGTAGCGGATTTGCTGGCGCCGAGCAACTAAAACAACTGGCGATGACACGCGCCACAATAGATGGACGGAAACGAAGACACAACGAAATTTCGTTGAAGAAAATTGCGAGTAAGGCGTTACCTGGCATATCCACTCGAGGAATGAACGTGTCGTCTTCAATCTGCCACTGGCGCAGCGTCTCTTGCCCGTCCTCTTCCCGCCAGCCGACTAAGTTGATGTGGTCGTCGTAACTCTTCCGGTTCGCCACTATGACTACGTTCCTGATCTCAGAACGGAGGCACTGTCGTCAGTCGAGAAATTTTGTTTAGGTCCATACTGCGGTCCTGTCCAACGAAGCCCTCCGCCGAGCCTCACGCTAGAGCCGTCCGATGCTCAGAGATTGGTGATTTAACGGTCTAGGTTCTAGGTTCTGGGTTTTAGCAAGGGGTAGGAATCGGTGTTGTCAAGCAGCCAAATATCGATCAAGCAACGCTTGACTTCGACGAAGCAACTCTTTGCATCCAGCACATTCAGAGTTTCCGAGCTTTTTGGAGCCTCCGTCTGCGCCTCCTTCTGCTGACTTCTTTCGCAGAGTACAGCTAAGAGCAAGACACCGCAGTAGTTTGTTTCTCAAGGAGAGCGGCAGACGCTAAGGTTCACGACTCTACCACAGATAGCGGAAAGTACTCTAAAGCCATTTACAGAAAACCGAAGACCTCCCGTGCTTCCAATACATAAAGCTCTACAAGGTCCAAAAACTTCGCAGGACGCACAACACTCACCATTCTTTGATGAGACTCGCGTGCAGATACGGTCCCGCATTGGCGTCCGTCGCTTCAGACTGAATGCTCGGGCTCAGCCCGTCGAAGAGCACTTCTCGGACGTCCGAAGCTTCGTCGGCGAAACTAGAGCGAGACGCCGTTTCCAGGGCCACTAGAGGGCTGTCTTCGACCTCGGAGCCGTCCTCGTTGAAGGGAACTAGACTGAGGAGGATTATGCCAGGTCGGATCCACCGGAGGGTGTCAACTGCGCAGCGGAGACTCATTTGAGTGACTGTATTCGGTCGAGCTTCGTGTGGGGGTTGTGTGACAGATGACCAATTTGAGAGGGAGGGCGAGGGGCGACAAAAGCTGGCAAGAATTTGCCTTTTCCGTTCTTACTTGGCGACACTGCACTGTGAAGAATCTTGTTCCGCGCACCCACAGGAACCGATAGACTATCAGGCAGTAACTTGAAGCTTAGTGGTGACCTGATGAGCAATCCCGTTCAAAGTTGTCATGACAAACCAACCTTAGGACCGGAACTTTAACAGACGCGGGCATCTCGGGTCGGAAGAAATTCGGTACTAAGTAGACTGTCGTTACAAACTGTCTTTGCCGATGAATCAAGAGCCATCTTCGGTGGTCGTACTAAACGGGACAATTTTGCAGCACGATTGCGACATAGTTGCAGGCGAGGGCCTCCCATTGAAGTCGGGAAAAAAGATCGTCTCGGGTGATTTGTTTGGTCTGCAGATCACAGACCCGTTTCATGATCAATGGTCTAGCGTCAACATGTCAGAATTGGCAACGACTTTGGCGAATCCCAGAAAAGCGGCAAGGGGAAGTACTTTCTTACTCAGTACATGATGCGCCAACTCTGCTTGCCCCACCGACAGCGCGGGTTTGATTGTCGCTACCACCGTCGCGAGGTCCTTTGTCGCAATCGAGATGGCCCCGTCCTTGGATGCAAACGCCACGTGGCGACCATCGGGGCTCCAAGAAGCTGCAGAGACGAAACGGCGCGACTATGTCAACAAGGAGAGAAAGGGCAGACACGATTTGCTCCGCGCTGATTATGTGTCCCTGGCTACATTTTATTCGATTAGTAAGAAAAGCCGTGGCTATCAATGACAGATGCCTCATTGCATTTTCTAATCAACTAAAAGGTCTTCAACAACATTGACACCATTACGAGATATTACGACAAGGTGAGTTCAAAGTCCGCGTTCTGCAAAAACTCTAGACGAACGAATGACACTAGCTGCATCATAAGATCCAAAAGGAAGCACACGTTCTCACCAGCTACCACGTCACTCCTGCTGGGCCCTTGCATGCCCTTGCTGAGGTCACCAATCCGCAGAGTGTCGTCATCCAGAACAGCTAGCAGCGTCCGGTTGTCGCTCGGAGACCATGCCAGACTACGCACTGAGAAGTCAAACTGCAGCCGAGGGGGGGGCTGGACCTGGCAGGAATTGAACACAGAAGAGTTTGTGGCGGGCTGCATTTCAGAGGTGGGACCAGCAATTGTGTACTCTGGTTCCAGTTAGTGTCTCGTCATCAATCCGATGAGCATTATGGGAAGTGCTTCTTTATGTCTGTTGACCGGGTCTTGTCACCAGTCAGACAACTAGATAGACTTGCTTGGTAGAGGTCGTGTCTCCACATGATTTTATCCCTTTCTGCCTCACAGTACGAACAAAACTGTCAGGCAGAGAAGAGTCCTACTCTATACTAGCCTACTTCAACTCCACTATGACGGTGGTATATTGCCAAATTAATGGTTCAGACACACTTCCAGTAGATCCCTACTGGGTGCAAGGTGCCTTTGACGCTATGCCATATGACTCCACTTTGCCTCTTAAGAAGCTACGGAGATAGGCCGGCGATCAGTCTACGAGGGCAGAACCCGTGATATCTAAGAGAGCAGCAGTGTTCCCTTTGGCATACCCGCTCGGACATCATTCCTGGAAGTTGAGAAGCCGCTACGTATTAGTCATCACTAGGTGAAGAAGCTAGAAAAGCAGGTTTTTTGTATGAACAACTCATTATTAGGTCTGTACAGAGAATGTGACTACGATTTCCTGTCTTTGTAAGAACTCATCAAATTCTGAGTCTATCAGAGCCCCTGCACTCACCTTATCAATCAAGTCCTGTGTGGAGAAGATGCAAACGCCCCCCTTCGCACCAACTGCCAGCAGGAGCTCATCAGCAGACAGGCTGAGGGTGTGAATACCCTCCAGGTCAGGGACTAGCCTCACACCGTCCTCTCCTTCCGCGACTTTAGCCTCGCCAGAAGACTTTGCGGCTTCGGCAAGCTCGAGAAGCGTTGCAGTCCGTGCGGCATAGAGGCCTGGAACCGTACATAGCATAATTTAGTGATATGGTTACAGCTGCCAAGTCTTCCCCAACAGGAGGCAGAAAGCAAGTGTCCAGTGGTATGAGTGACTGGGGCAGTGACGCCGGAACGCGGAAAGGGGGGGGCATGTCAATCGCCCGTCAGATGTGAGAGGGAAAGACTGAGCGCTTGTCGCATCAGTTAGCTTCCAGGTTCAAGCAATGCGAATACTGGATTGTCGTCACCAATTAGAGAATTCGATACAAGTCCTTTAATAAATTCCATCTTGAGTCCAAGAGCAACTCAAAAGTAGGTGGTGTCAATGTTGAAAGGGACAATGCAAGAAAAATATCTTCTCAAGTGCTGAATGTTTTTCTGAACCGTAAGGCGCGGGGGGCTATGTGGACAAAGAACAGATTACTTGAGGCCGCATAACTTGAAGGGGGATAACCTGAAGGGGGATAACCTCACCACCCATTTAGCAGATCTTTCTGCATTGATGAGGTTTATCCTGACACAATCAGAGTATGAAAGCCAAATGAGAAGATCGGACCAGCAATCAAAACAAAATAGAGATCAAAAACTACCACCATCATTCATCTTTTTGACAAAGGCGTACCTCTACCATCTCCAATGAAGACTGCCCCATAAATGTTGGACACCGCCAGAAGACTAGCATTGCCGGGACTTGCTTCCCGCTCTGTTTCGCTCCCAAGTCTGATGCTCGCTCCCAGGCGCTTGAACATTGCAAAGTCAATATTAACGCTGTCCACTTCTTCGACAGCATCGGGGCCGACTTCAACAACAGGAGCGCCCGCCATTGCTCCCCACTGGCTGACCCCGCACGTTGTGCTTGGAGATGCCAATCAGCTAGAGTCTGATTAGGTGCTTGCTTAGACTCAGGAGTTGCTTGCTCATGGCGGCTTGGGGGTTTGGCAGCGCTTCCAGGACGCCTGAAACGCTTCAGAATGAATTCATGCTGGAAAATCATTTAGGAAGTTTACATGGGAGG